TGAGAATAATATTCTCTGGTTGCATTGTCCCCGCTGCAATAATGCAAACCCAGAGCCTCAAGAAAGCCTCTTACTCCTGCTGGATGCTGGTCACGGTGACTTTGCCAGGGGGTGGGGGGAGGCTTGCATTAGGGTCTTGGTTTCACGGATCATTCATTCGCATGGATTTGTTTATGAGCAGATGATTGCAGTGCCTGCCAGGTTTATGCTTACAGGGCAGAAGACAGGGTATTAAGGAGTGTTGTGGACAGTCATAGCGTGACTTAATTAGGAAGGAGCACCACTGACCAAAAGGTCAGGTGAGGACACAGAGTGATACCAGACTAGCCAGGCCTCCAGTGGGTCTCACCAAGAGGTGATGACTGTCCTATGGTTACTGAGGTGGCCCTAAGTACATGGACATGCCATATGCTCTGCATTTCAGGGGGAGGGTGGAGTCTTATTTTAGTCTCTGAGGGGAGACCTCACAAAGTTTCAGATTTGTGGTTATTGTGTAGAGACAACATCTTTTATTTTTATTGTTACTATTTTTCACCCCCCCCCCGTGGGTTTCTCTGTGGTTTTGGAGGCTGTCCTGGAACTAGCTCTTGTAGACCAGGCTGGTCTCGAACTCACAGAGATCTGCCTGCCTCTGCCTCCTGAGTGCTGGGATTAAAGGCGTGCACCACTACCACCGGACTCTGTTGTTACTGTTTGAAAACATTTTATTTTGAGTTGTTTATGAGGGTGTGGTGTGTGTACACAAGTGCAGTGCCTGCTGAGGCCAGAAGAGGGCATCGGATTCCTTAGAGCTGGAGTTACAGATAGTTGTGACCCTCCCAGGATCATGGTTCCTAGGAATCAAATCGTAGCCTTCTGCAAAAGCCGTATGTGTTCTTGACTGCCAAACTGCCTCTGCATCTTCTATTGCTTGAGAGTTTCATATATGCATATAATGTGTCTGAGTCAAATCCATCTTCCATCACTTTTTTCCCTTCCCGCCTTCATATGCTCCTTGTTGCTAAAGTCCACTGAATCCACCTAGTGCTGCCTTTATTGTTGCAGGCAGGACCATCTACAGGGCCATGGGCAGCCTCTCAAGGGCCACTTCCCTGGAGAAAACTGACTTTCCCTCTCTTAACAGCAGTCAGTTTCAAAATAGCTACTCATGAATGGGACATTATGAGCCCCTCTCATCCATGCTGGGATTTTTGCTGGCTTAATCTTGTTGCGTAAAATGAAAGCCACGTTGAGTCTGTGGAATGGCCTTGTCATGCCCAGCAAGTGCTGTTTCTGGCAGTCCTTCTATTCTCTCTTCTTCTGTGATCCCTGAGCTCTTGCAGGGGGAGACGTGGCATAGGCCTCCACTTAGAGCTGAGACCCCCTTGGCCACCCATTCTCTGCATGTTGACCAGTTTTGGATCTCTGTATCAATTACCATCTACTACAGAAAGAAGCTTCTCTACTTAGGCTGAAATGTGCATCCACCAATGGATATAAAGGTAAGAACGTAGGAGACAGTTTGTTGCTGCATTCGCTTAGCAGAACAGTAGTATTAGATTCTCTGCTAGGAACCATGATCTAGCCAGCCAGGGGTGGTTGGACCAGTTAATGGTACCAGGCATGAGTTGTTACCAGTATTCTTCCTGCCAGCCTGGTTCCAGAGCTGTGTCAGTTCCAAATGAACACACAGGATGCTATATTAATTATGAAGCTGTTGGCCATTTTCTGTGGTTTCTTGTTGGCTAAGCTCTGACTTAATTATTAACCCATAACTGCTAATCTGAGTATTTCCACTTGGTCTTCTCTTACCGGAGAAAGATTCTGGAACTCTTACTCCTCTCACATCCTACATGGTGACTGACTGTGCCTCTGTTTCCCAGAATCCTCCACCTCTCCTAGTCCCACCTATCTTGCTTCCCTATTGGCCAACAGTGCTTTATTCATCCACCAATAAAAGAAACATACACACAGAAGGACTTCCCCCATCAAAGAGTTAGTTATGTCTTGTGGAGTAGGCTTTAAATCTAACCAGAAAGTGATTATTCCCATAGCACTCATGCCACTAGTGTGCCCAGTTGACATACCTTACTAGACTTGTAGAGTTCATACCTGAGTTGTGATTGATTTTCTCCCTCCATAGCATAACATAGAATATTCCAGGACTAGGAAAGCTAGCCAGCAAGAATAAAGCTGGTCACTATCCGTTTGAGTTTTCCATGTCTTGTAACTCAAGTATGTGGTGATTTCAATAATATGGTCTTAAAATCAAGTTTTGGAGTATGGCCAAGAGTAATGGCAATATTCTGTAATGTTTTAGGAGGGCATAGTCTTATGGGACACCCATTGATAAGCAACTTAAAAAGAGGGGTACATACCTAGAACTGGGCATCTTATTGATATCCTAAAGTGTCTGGGAGAGCCATTATCCTCCTATTGTATGGCAACTCCATATACATATAAAACTTAGGAATCTTTTTTCTATGTTTATATTTAAATTAGAAACAAGCTTGTTTTAAATGTCAATCCCAGTTCCATCTCCCTCCCCTCGTCCTCTGCTCTCCCACTAACCCCCTATCCCATCCCCTTTCTGCTCCCCAGGGAGGGTGAGGCCTTTCATGAGGGATCTTCAAAGTCTGTCATATCATTTGGAGCATGGCCTAAGCCCTCCCTTGTGTTTCTAGGCTGAGAGAGTGTCCCTCTATGTGGAACGGGCTCCCAAAGTTCACTCATATGCTAGGGATAAATACTAATCTACTATCAGAGGCCTGTTAGATTGCTGAGGCCTCCTCACTGACACCCATGTTCACGGGATCTGGATCAGTCCTATGCTGGTTTCCCAGCTGTCAGTCTGGGGCCCATGAGCTGCCCCTTGTTCAGGTCAGCAGCTTCTGTGAGTTTCTCCAGCCTGGTCTTGACCTCTTTGCTCATCACTCCTCCCTCTCTGCAACTGGATTCCAGGAGTTCAGTTCAATGTTTAGCTGTGGGTCTCTGCATCTGCTTCCATCAGCTACTGAATGAAGACTCTAGGATGGCATATAAGGTAGTCATCAATCTCTTTATTGGGGGAGGGCATTTAAGGTTGCATCTCCATTATTGCTTCGGGTCCTATTTGGGGGTCATCTTTGGAGATCTCTGAACATTTCCCCACTGCCAGATTTCTCTTTAAACCTATAATGGCTCCCTCTATTATGGTATCTCTTTTCTTGCTCTCCTCTGTTCCCCCCTCCCCCCCCACTCAACCTTGCTGCTCCCTCATGTTCTCCTCTCCCCTCCTCTTCTCCCCTTCTCTTTCTCCTAACTCCCTCTCCTCTCTCCTCTACTCTGCTCCCAATTTGCTCAGGAGATATTGTCCTTTTTCCCTTCTCCGGGGGACCATGTCTGTCTCTCTTAGGGTCCTCCTTGTTTCTTAGCTTCTCTGGTAGTGTGGATTGTAGACTGCTAATCCTTTGCTCTATTTCTAAAATCTATGTATGAGTGAGTATATATCATGTTTGATTTTTTGTGATTGGGTTACCTAGCTCAGGATGGTTTCTTCTAGTGCCATCTGTTTGCCTGTAAATTTCAAGATTCCATTGTTTTTTCCACTGAATAGTACTCCATTGTGTAAATGTACCACATTTTCTCTATCTACTCTTTAGTTGAGGGGCATCTAGTTGCTTCCAGTTTCTGGCTATTACAAGTAATACTGCTATGAACATAGTGTAACAGATGCCCTTGTTGTATGAATGCGCATCTTTTGGATATATGCCTAAGAGTGGAATTGTTGGATCTTGTGGTATACTGATTCCTATTTTCCTGAGGAACCTCCATACTGATTTCCAAGGTGGCTGTACAAGTTTGCACTCCCACCATCAGTGGAGGAGTGTTCCCCTTTCTCCACATCCTCTCCAGCACAAACTGTCGTTGCTTTTGATTTTAGCCATTCTGACAGGAGTATGATGATATTTCAGAGTTGTTTTGATTTGCATTTCCCTGATGGCTAGGGATGTTGAGCAATTTCTTAAGTGTCTATCCGCCATTTTAGACTCCTCTATTGAGAATTCTCTATTTAGTTCTGTGCCCCACTTTTTAATAGGAATTTTTAGTGTTTTGGAGACTAGCTTCTTGAGTTCTGTGTAAGTTTTGGAGGTCAGCCCTCTGTCAGATGTGGGGATGGTGAAGATCTTTGCCCATTCTGTGGGCTGCCATTTTGTCTTGTTGACTGTGTCCTTTCCCTTACAGAATCTTCTCAGTAACTTAGGAATCTTTTACAATAATATGCTTCTGTATGGTATTGTGAAAGCTTTTTATTGTTTGTTATCTTTCCCCATACTCCCTCCTCTGTTCTATCCCCATTTAACCCTTTCCCTATCACACCCCCTGAGTGCTATCTCCCGGTCTCTTGGATCTCACCTTCTGATCCAGGTGCCTTCCTAGTTTCCTGAGTTCTATGAGCACTCCAGTTAGAATATGTATCATCCTTAGGCATCAGATAAATGCAAATATTTTGAGATTCATCTTACTCCAGTCTGAATGGCTAAAATTAAAAAAAAAACAACGACAACATATGCTGGCATGGATATGGGGAACACAAACTGGTAGCGCCACTTTGGAGATGGGCGTGGTGGCTCTTCAAAAAGCTGGAAATAGCTCTACCGCATAATCCAGCTACACTCCCAAAGGACCCGATATCCTGCCACAGACACACATGCTCATCCTTGGCCACTGCTGCTCTATTCCATAACAGCTAGGAAATGGGAAACAGCCTGGAGGTCCGTCAGCTGATTGATGAACTCTGAAGGGTGTGGTCCATATACACTAAGAAGATGTGTGTGAAGAAAGATGAAAGGGTGAAGCTCGTATGTGGACAAATGGAAGGTGGAAATAACTATTCTGAGTGAGGTAACCCAGACCAAGAAAGACAAGCGTGCTCTCTCTCATTCACACAAGCTGGCTTGATTGTTTCTTTAACATAGAATTAATGAAATCATTTCTGAAGCAGAAAGAATTCAGCCACTGTCTTAACCACTATTTTTCAGGTTCCCCGAATTGAATGTGAATCCAGAACCATCGCTGAAGGCCAGTGCTAAGGTGGAAGGTTATCTGCTCCCTGGCCAGTTCTTGTGCCATATGTGACCCAAACACAGCCAATATTCTGAGAGTGAAGCATGGAAAGTGAATTACCTGTAATGTCTTCCTGTCGATGGGACAGTATATTCTAAATGACTTTTTTTTTCAGAACTCACTGCTCTGAGCTATGTTTTTCATCCTAAACACATAATTTCCAGATGTCTTTCAATCCATCTATATAACGATTTTTGGGCTTAAGCTAATGGCACAAAAAGATTGCAGCCTGGGAGCAAGTAATGTTTGGGGGGATGTTTTTATAATGGTTAAAATATAAATCCCCACAGTTGCTCCAAGTTAGAAATGATAAAATGAAAGGAAGGAAAAGGCAAGAAGTTAATGGTCTGAAACCTAGGGCTGGTATGTGTTTATGTTCAGAATCAGATCCCTGTGTTGGCTTTGGCAGTGGGGAAATGATATTCTGAGCCGTGGCTTGGAACCTTGAAAAAGAGACTTAAGGAAAGTGCTGTGTGCTCAGTTTTTAATGGAAGAGAAGCCCCTGTCTGCATGTGAGGACTACTGCCCTGCTCTGGGTTGTGTGACCTGCACATAGAGGACATCCAGGGCCGTTGTCGTCATGCTGTTGAGCTGGCTGACTGCTGCCACTGATGGACTCTTCCCGTCCATTGGGCATTGCACTTAGGTGAGTGTTGAATGTCAACGTGACCCGGTGAGTCCAGGATACCTGTGTATGCATTCATATCCCACCTGTATTATGGCATGCCTGAGGAAAACGATAAAAAGAGGATTTCCTGGGCATCTGAGGTTGCAGACTGAGGCTGACCCCAGTGCTTTGGGCTCATGGAGAGGAAGGATGTTATTTTGGAAGGACTTGGTGGAGCAGAGCTACTCACCTCAAAGCTGGTGTTGGGGTTGGGGATAGGGAGATGGGCGGGGAGAGGGACAGGGAGGGGGACAGGGAGAGGTATCAAGGAAGGGGCCCAGCATAAGATACAGCCTTCAAGAATGCCCTTGCCAGTGGCCTAACTTGGAGTCCTCTTCTAGTAGGCCATCTAGTTATGAATTTATCAATGGGATAACCCACTTATGAAGCTGATACTTCTTGGTCTAGTAACCTCTCATTACACCATCAACTGTGGCCAAGCCACCAACAGGAGCGTATGTCACATAGAAATTATAACATTCTACCCGTTCGTCCCCTTGGCCCCCAATATCCCGTGTCCACCCCCAAATGCAAAACATATGCCGTCTATCCCCCAAAATCTCCAATATCATGCCAACCCCAGCCTTTGTCAAAAGTTATAGAATCCCCCCCCCCAGACTCAAGGCACACTCCAAAGTGCAAATCCCTATAAATAAAACAAACTTCATACTGCTGGCATGCGATGGTGGGTTAAAATGTACATTTCCAATCCCAAAGCATGGAGCAGGGCGTAAAAAGGAGAAATGGCACCGAAGCAAACGAAGAATCCAAGATCGTAGATACCTGGCTGTCTAGTGATACCTCAGGCACACAGCGTTGGGATACGAACCTCCAGAAGGGTTTGGGTGGCCCGGCCTAAGACTCGGTTCCCCGAATCTCGCGAGACCTCTCTAGGGCTCGCTCTGAAGCCTGCAGCTTTTCTTAGCAGGTAGCCATGCTCTTGGCTCCTGGAATGTCTGGCTTCCTGGGTTCTCGCTGAATCTCCGCCCTCACCCTCATGGCTTCGTGCATTCACCCTCCATCCAAGGGGCCGCGTGCCGGGAATCTGAACCTGCTGCTGCGTGTTAAACGTGGATGGGAGCCTCCAGAACCCTGAAAGTAGGGGGGTCTGTGTGAGTAGCAAACCACAGAAATGGGGACAACGCTGAGATGTGCCAAGGGCACTAGATGTACCTGCGCCCCGACACGCGCCTCTAAGGAACATTTAAGGAAGAAACCATGCCTGATGTGGTGGGACACACACTTTTAATCTCAGCACTTTGGAGGCAGAGGCAGGCAGGTCTCTATGGGTTCTAGGCCACCCTGGTCTATGTAGTAAGTTCCAGGCCAGGGGAGGGAAGAAAGAGAGAGAGAGAGAGAGAGAGAGAGAGAGAGAGAGAGAGAGAGAGAGAGAGAGAGAGAGAGAGAGAGAGAGAGAGAGAGGGAGAGAGGGGGAGGGAGGGAGAGAGGGAGAGAGGGGGAGGGAGGGAGAGAGAGACAGGAGAGAGAGAGACAGGAGAGAGAGAGAGACAGAGAGAGAGAGAGAGAGAGAGAGAGAGAGAGAGAGAGAGAGAGAGAGAGAGAGAGAGAGAGAAAGAAGTGACTGACATCTGAAGAGGCTAGAGGACTTGTCCGAGGTCACCCAACTGCTGAATGGCATTACTGGAACTTGGCCCCAGGCTTCTTTCTGTAGCCTACCTAACAATTATGTAATGTTACACAGGAAACAGAACATGTGGAAAGAGTAACCCTGAAGTCAGTGGTTTGAAACCATCATGGCAAAAGAATCTTCTAGGAGTATGTAGCTTCCTAAAGGACCCAGCAGACACAGAGGCCTGTGCAGCAGGTGGAGACCTTCAGTTTCTTTCGTTCTAGAATCCCCTGATGCGGAGATAACAGTTTGCAAGCTTAGCTTGGTTCTTAAGCCCTCCATTCATCTGAACAAGAGCAACAGTGGTGTTTTGAGCAGCCAGAGCCCAGCCTGGGGTCCGAATGAGGGCTGGGAACAGGGAGGAAAGGCTGAGACTAGATCTAAATACCACAGTGAGGTAGGGGCTCCTTAGTTTCAGGACATACATCACTGAGTTGGCTAGGAAGTTGTAGAAACTCATGTGTAGCAACTCAGCAGAAACCCGGCGACTTAAAACAGCTAATTATCTCATAACTCTGTACGTCACGTTCTGACCTCATTGTCTCTCAAGATGACCAGGCCTCTGTTTCCACCTGTCTTCCATCCCAGAGGCTACTCTGCTTGTCCCTCTCATTTAGTTTTCTCATGTACCAACTCCAAAAGTCCTTCCCAAGCGTCATGTCTCTGGCTTCCCTACTTGCTTCAAGTGAGAGTAACTTCTCTGCTTTTTGTTTTGTTTTGTTTTTGGTTTTGCTTTTTTTCCCTTTGGAACAGGGTTTCTCTGTGTGGCCTGGCTATCCTGCAACTCGCTCTGTAGACCAGGCTATCCTGGAACTCAGAGATCTACCTGCTTCTGCCTCCCGAGTGCTGGTACCACCCTTTAAGTTTTGTCTATTACTTTTATATAAAGCCAGGAACAGTAAGCTATGGGAGAGTCACTTGATCTAGGCAGAAGGATTGCGTCTCATTTGCATTTGTAGAAGAAATTATTTCAGAGTGACAGCTGGTGGTTACAGAATGGTCCTGGGCAGGAGGAGAGAGATGGGAGTTGAAGTCTGGACTCTAGGAGCCGTGTCTTGGGATCCTTAGGGATGCTTTTCAGTACTTGGATTTCATCACCTGTAAAATGAGACATCTGGGCTCTTGGGCTCATCCTGATCCCCCCCTCTTCCTTCTTGTTTTTTCCATGATCATATGCTCTCATTCTGATGTCTCCCCGGCAAGCTTTGCCAATCAGCCATCCACTCTTCCCTGCTGTGCCTGGATGGTGTCCTAGAATCCTTTTGACACGGCCCTCCAGGAAGTCACCACCAGTCCGGTGATGCTGGCACTGGGGATGAAGCCTGTGCCATCCAAGCACTGGGAGGTCTCAGTTCATCCCCAGATGCCACAATTCTCTCAAATGAGAAATTATCACCTCCCCTGGCCAAATTGCTGACAGCCAGTTGGTCTTGGCTTGGCTTGTCACATGGACATCTGGGGAGCAGTTTCGGTTCTCAAGCCACAAATTGAGGTGTGGTGCAAAGTCACTCTCTTTCCCTCTCATTAAACTTGGTTCCCAGTTTGAGCCCTTGGTTCCTAAGAGTTGGAGCAGAGTAGACCAGGGTGTGGTGTTCCCAAAGCCTCTCCCTGGGTTAGTCCATATTCCAGAGCCCCAGGCCCAATCGTGGCTTGCCGTTAAGGGGTTCCGGATGCCCCATGTGACCTGCCCGTGAACGTCACCTACGGTGGGTGAGAGCTGAGTTTGCAGTTGCCTTTGGATTCATTAAAGAAAAGACCGGTTGTACCCCATAATGAATTTGTCCTAAAGCTCAGCAACACCTAGTCACCGTCTCATGTAGGTCTGGGGGCCTTGGTTAATTCTCCAGGCCGCCTTCTATTTACACAGCTATCAGAGATGTAGCTGTGTCTTTCCTGTTGAAGCAACTAGACCACACAGTCAGGTCAGGGGAGAAATGGATGAACGTGGAAATTCCTGGAGTGAATATTTGGGAAGAGACACGTGTCTTCCCCTATGGCCAGTCGCAGCTGGATTATGGGGCTCCGCCCACCCGGATATGGGGCTCCGCCCACCCTCAGGGAAGTGAAAAATGTGTGTGTAGGGAGTGCCACCTCGCTGCCCCGCAAGCGCTGCCCTTTGCTGTTGCGGGTGGTGGCGCATTTTTCCGCCGTGTTTGCGTTTGCTGATCCTTCCGGGCAAGACTGGGCGCAGGTTGCTCGCCCTGTGTTCTTTGCTCATGATGCCCGACCCCTCCACCCCCCCCAGACAGCGGGAAAGACTTCTTACCTTTACAGTTTAGGATCCGGGAAGCCATGAGGTTGTCTGTGGATCTTGGGTGCGTCCTCACTGCAGAGTGATTTTTAGTGATACCTGGATGTGGGATTTCCCAGCTTCCACAAGGACCAGTGATTTAATATCTGTTCTTTATGCATTGCCAGTGTTATATATTTTTATTTTATTTTTCAAATAACTACATAAAAGATAAAGAGAAAAGGCCTCTGGCCTCACTTGTCCTGGGCTCCATTTATCCCCTGAGCACTACGTTCCAGGGACTTAAAAGCCAGGAGGCTGTGCACTTTCTTATTTTGTGTCCTACTATTGCCTATGAGCACTGCCAGCCGCTTCTCCTGGGGAGCGGATTAGAAAGTCACGTGGCGTCAGCTCTGTGTTCAGTGCTTATCCTGACTCATTAAGGCAAACATGTCGAAAAGGAAGCAGATTTTGTGGTTTCCTCGGGTCTGATCCAAGCATGCCTTTCCATAGGAAGGCCTGTGGATTGAGCAACAGTCTTGGACTGGTTCTTTCCCTTGTCTCAGACGTGCTCGTTGGCTGGGAGGAAG